TTTAAAGGAGCCGCCCTGCATAATAAAGTCAAGATGGTATCGCCTAATAATTTGATATGAGAGACTGGCTACAAAGTTTGACAAAATATAAATCTATCAGAATTTTAATAAAATTATTCCTTTTATACCATCTTCAACTAAATATAAAAATGAGAAATATAAAGGAGAAAAAGAAAGCAAAGTAAGCAACACGTTTTCGCACATCCATCAGCATTAAAATCTTTATCATAAAAAAGTGATTAAGATAAAATTTCAGCTTTCAGCTTTTACTTCATCAAAAAGACATTGTTAAGAAAAATTAATCTATCCCGGCGTGACGTCCACTATAATTGATTTAGAAGTAACGCACGTAACTTGCCGAATTCTACTAATCAAGTTCTTTTATTTGATGCCCATATCGCTGATGCTATTAACAAAAAATTACTCCATCAAGTCGTGGTGTCCACCATGTTTATTTTGGAATTGACGCATTTTTAGGCAGATAACATGTCGTCATTTGAGGAATGTACAAAACCGTTTTAAACATTCTGTCTTGTTTGCCTTATAATAAATAATAAGCGCAAAACCTGAAAAAAGCGAAAAAAAAACGAAGATTTATTCATTTGTAACTTTGGGTGGGCGTGACGGATTTTTTCCATTCTTGCACATACATAGTAGAGTTTTTCGGAAAGGAAATGTGGAAAATTTCAGCTTTCTATCTTTTATAATGAGCACAAAATTTGCAAAGTTTTATTAAAAAAAAAAAAAAAAACAGGGTTGCGTTCAGTTTTCGCTCTATTCCGGGCTTCATCAATTTGGCTCATTTTCAATACCAACCTGCGTGCAAAAGCTTTCAATGCTTCTGCAAAATATCAAATCGATTCATCTTCATTTTTGCGAGCAGAAAAGAGCGAACAACACGACCCGCCCAGACGGACAGACATGACTTAATCAATTCAGAATTTTATGCCGATCAAGAATATGCATGCTATATACGGGAGCGCTGTAAAGCTGCCTTTTGGATTTGACAAACGTTATCACAAAATGAGTATGCTCGCCATTCTTCTGCTGCGATGGGTATAAAGAAGAAGTAAAAGTAATGAACTGAAATTCTAAGGTCTAAGGTATAAGTCCTAGATAGATGATTCCAAAATAAAGCGGAGGGGTTTATCTTCAGCGACATCATCAAAATAAAAATTAAATTTACATTTACGGCTACCTTACGGCGGATTACTCAACATCTGGCTTATATGACTTAGCAGTAACTCTCATCTCATTTTCTTACTCTTTTTAATGGTTATATTTCCAAGTAAATAGTGTTAGTTTGCGGTTGTCATTAGTTTATAATGTCAACCGCAATTAGGTTTAACTAATAATTTATTGAGATTTCATAAAGACAGCATTACGTAATGCTGTACAAGCATATCATACATGCATGTCTTGGGCTTTTACATACATTATATATATATATATGTTTTCTCTAATATTTCTGCATGCTCCATTCATTCAAAGTTTATGCTTGTGTTTATATAATTACCTTAGAATACTTTAGAACATCTGCGCCTTACTGTATGCTGTATGCGATTAAACCTTTTAATTGCTCATCATATATCAAGCAAGAAACTTTGCCTATCTAAGCGACTTGATTAAAATTGTAAAATTAAAGTCATACTTTAAATTGCTTTTAAATCCGTTATTATTGCAAAGTTAATTAAATTTTTTGAATAAAAAGTTTCGCAAAGTCTCGTATTATACATAAGCGCAGAAATTCTTTAAAGAAAATATTGAACGGAAGGCTTTCACATTTTTGAAATTTTATATCTTTTTTTATATTTTTATCTTATTGTTACCATAAATTTTTCACATAAATCTAAAGTGATTCGTATTTGTCACAGATTTAGAAAAGAAACGAAAATGCATAACATCAAGAACAATTTACAAAAGCACGACAACAGCAATCGGGTCTTTAACGCAGACACAAATATCAACAAAAATATATTTTAAAAACCAGTAAAAGCTATAAACAAACAACAAGACCTCACCGCACACATATGCTGCATACACTGTAAAAATGTTCTATAAAATTAGATGAAGAGGATGGCGATCCGAGAAGAGAAAGGGTATAAGAGATGAAATAAAAATAAATAAATAAATAAATAAATAAAAATAAAGTTTCCATATAAATAGGGGGGAATATGAGACAAAGATAGAGAGCAGTGTTAAAGCATGAGCATATACGTGTAGGAGACTGAAAATACATTTAAAAATTCCCGCCTTATTGAAGTTGTAGGGAAGCGGATATATTTAAACGAGAATTTTCCCTCCTTTTGCAAGTACCGTAGTATCGAAAACCAAAGAGGAATAAGAGAATTACATGGGAAATCAGAAAACAATTGCCGTTCAGTTGCAAGTTAAATGTTTTAAACTACCACAAGACGATAGATAGATAGATAACGTCCCACACAACACAGACCCGTTTCTGACTTTCTCTTATACTCACTTGCTCTACCTCTTTAAAGTGACATTACAATCATGAAAACATTACGTTGACAACAACAATTTATTTATCACTTTCAACTCAACTTCAAATAGAATTCAGAAAATTATCTTAGACGTAAACAAGTAAGAACATTATAATCGGGCGAGGCCGATCATTAGATACTCTACATCACTTCATCTCACTCATTTCTACTCACTCACTATAGTAATAATACATCAGTAAAAATTATACATTATTTTGATACAAAGACATACTTCTCGTAAAAGTCCATATATTGTGGGATTGGCGAAACATCGCATCACCTCAAACGAATCTAGCAAATTGAACTTATTTCCTAAAAATTTTAATATTTTCCAGTTTCTGTCATAGAAAACTATTAATTGTATTATGCTTTCTGTCTATAAGGGCTTGGTTTGTCACGATAACCCCTACAGATATTGGGATCGAAAGAATAGGCCTATGAGTTCCAAATTCCCTGTTAATAATTTTTGTGCTAAATTACTGGATTGGATCACTTTTCATCATAAAATATTAAAAATTAAATCTTCTGCTGAAGTGGCTCCGATTCATAAGAAATCTTACATGGAGCGACGTCACAGAAATACCCCCATATCATAGATCGAAGCATAAACAAATTCTCATCATATAACATTAACAACTAGGCCTTTCGAGCATATGGAAATTCATGTTATCTCAAAATTCTTATATACTGCGCTATCCAAATTATAGACCGACGTGGTTCAAATTCGGTAACGTTGATTTCTTTGTCAATAATCTACTATTAGCTAATTTTCACTATAAAATATTGATAATTATACCTTTGTACCATATGAAGATTCAGTTTTCGTAATAGCGGTTATATACGAGGGGGTACAAAAAAACAGCCGGTTTAAATTTTTCATATCAATTTAGAAGGTCGAAATACTATGGCACAGCACGTTTTGTCGAGAAATTTCGAAAATATTCAGTTTGTTTCCGTATAACTACTTTTCAAAATAAGGCGTTACACGGGAAGTGATGGAAAAAATCAATCGCTTTTCAATAGCGTGAAAACACGTCAATGTGTAAAATTTCGTCAAAATATCTCAAAAATTCCAGGACATACATGGCCAGGCAGACACACAAGCTAAAATCGGTTCAGAATCACTTTCGGTATAATTAGAGATTAATCTATCTTAAGCACTTCTGAATGTTACGTAAGTATGCAGAAGCTTAATATACCCTGTACCATAGGTGTTGTAGGATATGAATACACATGTAGCTAAGATGTACTCGTACACATATATTATATAATATATACGACTTATGAAAGGTATATAAAATCATTCCAACTGACTAAAGCAAACGTTTTTAAGCAGCAGTTCTCGTAGTGCTTACAACATTTTTTACTGGTCCATATGTCGAGTGCTTAATACGAATTTTGATACAGAGTTTACTCGAATGGTTGTACAAAGAAGAAATGAAAGAATCTGAGCCGAACAGTGAAAGACGTGTTTTGCGTTTTCTTCTTCGAAAATTACTAACTTTCCGGTGAACTTTTCTAAATACCGTCGCATTTTCCCCCACAAAGACATTTGATGCATCAACTACCATCTAGGTCTGCCGAAATGTTTTTACTCGGCGAAAAGACACCTCCGAGGGGAATTTCTCTCCAGATGTAGCTGTATATGTCGATATCAGAGACTAAGGAAAGAGCAATGGGTATTGAATTCTTGCATAATTCCTACTTGCTTGTGTAAAAATGGCAAAAGCTATTAAAAAAAAAGTTTTATTCTATTTATTTATTTATTTTTTATTTTGCTTTTTATATAATTGTTCAAGTCGTTCATTCGATCTCTGGATTAAATTCCACGGATTCATGCTTCGAAGTACTCATCGGTGACGTTTATAATACTGCTTTAAATGCAAAACTCTTATCAAACAGAAGATTCTCACAAGAGCACAAATCAAAGAAAAATAGATCTGCCGAATCTAAATATATGTCCAAGTATAAAGATTGCTTTGGCAATTGTTTGCCGAATGAAACCTCTTTTCCACCTATCTATGTATATATAAAAAAATTATAACTCAATATTATGTTTCCATTGATCGATAAATTCATGGTTTTTATATGTCTATAAGTAAAGGATTAATGATGAAAAATATTGGGTTGGCAACTAAGTAATTGCCGATTGGTTCAATGAAATAAACGATTTTTTTTCACTCGGGATGAAGTTTAATCGGTAATGCATTTTCCATTTTTTTCGATGGCCTTTTGCCGTCTCGCTGACAACCTAAAAAATCAACGATCGTAGAAAGTCTGCAAAAGACGCCTTTACGATTAACCAATTCTAGGCGTTTTTCCCTGGCCGCTACATTCAATTTTTTCAGTTACCGCATTAAAGGTTTGATTCCTTGGAAGCAGCTCAAAACACACCGGACTTTTCCAATCCCATCCAATTGAGACCAAAATCTTCCTTTGTTGGATATGTGTCTTTGAAGTGGTTTACGATGGCTCCTTAGGCGTGCACCACGGTCTCTTTCAATTGACATTGTTCAAATCGTGCGGAACCCAAATATCCAGCTTCTTAACGAGACCAACACGTTTTAAACGCTTCTCAATGGCTGTATACGAAACATTCAACTTCTCTGCAATCTTTCGTGTAGTTACGTGACGATCCGCTTCGATGATGATTTTGATTTCAACCTCATTAAGCACAACTGGTCGACCTGAACGTTGTTCATCTTTGAGGCAAAAATCTCCAGAACGGAATTTTTCAAACCAATTTCGGCATTGCCTTTCTTTAAGGTAGGTCTTCATTACCGTACAGACCTCATGTAACTTTTTGGCGCCTTGCACTGCGTCCTGTCCTTTACGGAAAGAATAAAGCAAAATGAACTTTGTAAAGCTAGGTAAGGATGACAGCTAACATATATAAAAAGAAGAAGATCATAACATTTACGGATATCATAAAAGTGGGAGTGAGAGATATCTATAACTGAAATCGGCAATTACTTAGTTGCCAACCCAATGTAAAGACGGATAGCGTTTCTATGCGGTTAGTTTGCTTTCTTTTCCGTCGTTTGCAACGTCCATTTCCGCGGATGATATTGAACGGAGACGGATTCAATAACTTAATCTGTCCGATCAAAATTTTGCATATAAACTTGCTATAAAAAAGCTGTGGCCTACAGGTTAAGCACAAATTTACTTCAGTTCAGAAAATGATTCTGAATTGATCGGTATAATAACAGGTAACAGATCTACCTCAAGCCTTTAAGGCATTCTGCATCGAAATTAATGATGACTATAATGTTATACATATATATATATGAATTTAATAGAACCGATTACCGATTTGTTATCTCCGCTCAGGATATCCGCAAGTGATGAAAACGAATATACCGTACTTGCATATATACATGTATAAAGCTTGTTGAGGATTATATACGATAGACATAAAACACATAGGTAACCGCCCGATATATTTGTACGCTCTATAGTAACGCACAACGCTTGCGCGTTGATCGTAACGGCATGAAGCACTAACTTGCGATTTCGTTGCGAATAATAACAAATTAGAAAATTATATTGGCCCGTGGACGAGTTCTATTGTGCATGGTCAATTCTTTCCCAATTTTGTGTACGAGAATATACGAATTTTCACTGTTCACTGGGGTTTATGCGTCAATGAGCAATAAACCACATTTTTCTGCATTTGCAAACAAAGATGTTACTCGTTTTTGGATTGTACTGTGCGGGCGTACCCTCCCATTTGAATGTAGCCAGCCCAACTGCAATTTCAAGCTACGAGCGAGAACTAAACTTTTAGCCGGTACCTTCGGACGAACAGATGGACATGCTTACATCAATTTACAATCAACTATGCCCTCATCTCTCAATATAATGATAATAAAAAAAGGGAAGAAAAAAAGGATTCGTTTGGTGCCCGCTCCTTGTCGTTTTGTTAATACGTGTTCCTAGAATCACTTGCTAGTAACGACTGCAAACTTTGTAATTATTATTCATATTATTTCTCCTAAGCTTCACCAGAACTCAATCTTCATAAAGTAAACAGATTGCAATTCTACACACAATTGATTAATCGACGGCAGATGTTATGTTCAAAAGCGAACAATTCTCTTTACCGTCTTTAATGTGCAAATAAATCCTTTTTTTTTGTTTTTGTTTTTTTTTTTTTTGAATAAACATAATAAAAAAAAGTTTATAAACTACCAACAAATTAGACGAACAATTGAATTTATGCTTAAGCAAATTACAATGAAGAATACTCCTTAATAAGTATGTATGTATATGCGTATGCTTTTGGCTGTGTATTTTGTCTGTGCGCGTGTGTGCGTTATGTAAGCAAATAATTGTCATAAGAAAAATTGTCGTAAGCAAAATCTGAATTTGCTTAGCTTTCGGTGAAATGAGGAAAGAGAAAGAATTGATGATTACGAGGAGACAATGACTTTCTAATGTACAGTTCCGTCCGAATATTTTACACCCCATAGATGTTTCTTAAAGAGAAAGTTAAAAAAGCGAAATTTCGATATTGTATAATATGTGAGGCGTGAGATATTGCACGACCATCGTTGTACTTGGTGCAGTGTAATAATTCATTTTTGTTTGCTTTTAACATCACAAGGCATATTGCATTATGTGGCATGTCCTTCGAATCATTTGGGACAATTTCAGCGCCTACCCAAGTGCTATACAAGAACTTGCTATCTTAATATCGAAATCTTTGCTAAACTAAAGAAATATTTACCGAACAAGAGCACAAATGGATGGACAGACACGAATAGAACGATTCAGAATTTGCATCGATAAAGAATAAATGCATAGGATGTCCGAGACTTGATTCTGAATATTGTCGTATTGTCTTATTGTAATAATAAAGTAAAGGAATAACCGCACCATGATAAGGAAAAAGCAAAAAAATAAATAAACAAATAATAGTAGGCTGCACACAATGTACGAGTAGTAGTAGTAGTTGCTTAGAAATCTCCGTTTATTTCGTTTACAAAGTTGTATATAAAATATGTTGCAAATTATAAATATACGTACAGTAAATGACTTGTTATTCATGTCATAAATATTAAGTAGACTATGAGTATTCATGGATGGACATGCAACGTCCATTCAACTTTCAAATGTCCATTGTATAAAAGGTTTAGCTTAATATCATACAATACGTTTTACAATTTGTATAAATTTCAACTTTACACATAGATACATACATACACATAATGTTTGTCCATGTTTTAGGTTAAGGGACTAAAACTCCCTAAAAACATTCCCATAGACATAAAAGCACACACAAGCGTTTATATGTTTATTTATATGCATAACAACTTCATTACTACTCGAGCCTTTCCGTACACAAGAGATGGCATCATATAGATCATGTTACGTTTAACTAACAGGACTTTATCAATGGGAATTTTCCAACTTATTGTCAGATGTTTTCTGTGATATGTTTCCAATGGACACACTACACATGCATTTAATTTATTATTTGTTTGCTTGCAATTTCGTCTCTAAATCAAGTTTGAAAGACAACCAACTCCAGCAGATTGTAATTGTATAAAAAAAAAAAATAAAAAAAAAATAAAAAAAAAGATTTATGATAACTTCATTCAGGCAAATATGTCATGGAAAATGTATTTTCTCACAAAATAAACACGTCCACGTATTTATGTGTGTATGTTTTGGGAAGAAAAACAAGAAGAAGATAAATAAGTAAATAAATATATATATATATATATATATATAAATAATTAAATAATAATAATAAAAATAATAATAATAATAAATAAATGAGTTTACTAATATTAACAAATAATTTATGTTTGTCCACTGACGACCACTTAACAATAATAGACGCCTTATGGTTAAGATTGAATATCCAATTAGTAAATGATATATATTTATTATTTTTTTTTTTTGTTTGTTTTTTTCTAGCATTTTGTAAAAATTGTTTTCAGTGAGATTGACATTTTTTTAAATCCGTACGTGCCTTCGCTCTATGTCTCCCAAGCACCGTTCACTGCTCCTTATCATAAGTAATACAGTTTTCAATACCATTGTACTCTGAGGAAAATTTAAATCCGTAGCACATTTTTGGTGTTTAATGATAAAAAAAAATAAAAAAAGAATTCTCTTTAGGTGTTTTTTAGTGTTTGGTGGTCTCTGCTATCAACAATGTCAAAAGATTAAAGCTTTTGGACAAATAATTTCATACTTAGAACCATAGGGCTTTGTGGACGCTGTTTTCTTTTGTTTTTTTTTTTTTTTTTTGAGCATTAGGTGAGAAAACGTACACTATACCATGTGGTTTTGATTACTTAATCTATGAAATGATTTCGCAGTTTTCACACACACACATATGTAAATTAAAATGTGGGAAGGCGCTTAAGATATGCTTAGCTTTTTGGGCGAATGAGCGCAAAGAAGCAACTTCTGGCAAAATTAATTATCCCCGAACGTTTGCTACTTCCCAAATTCCCTAACGCCGACGACGTATACTTCTGCAAAAATGTATTATGGAATCGTAGTTTCAGTAAATTGTGTTTTTATGGATAATAATGATTCGAAACTCTCTTTTTACGCGAAATTTTATTTAATACGAGTTAAAAAGAACAAATTCCCCTTGTTACTGTTGATGAATTCTTTTTCTGTTTTTCTATAAATATTTTCATTCTCACTCTCCATAAGTACGCATTATAACTTTGCATTTGCATACATTTCTAATCGTTCAGTTAGATTATAAATGGAATTTTCCGAAATAATGCACAGAGTAAAGAGGTATTCTATTTATTATTTTTTTTTTTTTTTTTTTTTTTCTCAATTTAGTTTAGTTTTTCAATGTGTAACTTATTTTTTATAATATATGTAATGAATTGAAATGTGAGTGAACTGTAATAAGAATTTTGTAATCTTGTTTAGTGTACTTTTCAGTTACGTTTCATACTCTTTTTCCATTTAGCCCAATAAGTTTTTTGTACGAATTTTTTGATAATGCATCTATCGTGTAAAAAGAGAATTAGGTGTAGCCGGAACACTTTTTTTACACGGTAGATACGTTCTTCAGGAAACATGGATACACATGTGGTAAATTGTGGGGATATACTCCACAACCCTAAAAGATCGTGTAAAATTGATGTCAATTTTTTCAAAATACCGTGGAAAAAAGTTCCTAATGAAATCCATACCACATATTTACGAAACAACAGTTATTCGTTTTGATTACAAAAACAAATTAAAATTAGTATGGTATATATATATATATATCAATTTCCATAAGTACATTATATAAAAGTTTAATTTTGAAGGAAGGAATAAACCACAATTCCGCAACTAATCATCGCTGCCCAAATTAGAATTACGAAAAAAAATTTTTTTCGGATACGTGTTAGAACAAAAAAATTCGTGTAAGAACAGGAACTTTGCTCTTATTGGTGAACCACGATAATTTTAAATCGGGCAAAAACACCGTGTAAAAAAAGAGTTTTGTTTGTCTCGTTAAAATAATGAAGAAGACATTTCCGACGCTCACAGATGTCAAATGCTAATCACAACCTAGGCTACAGCTTGTAATAATGAATAAGTGCATATAATAATAAATGATTAGCATTTCACTTTTAACTATTATTAAACCTACTCTAGATATTTTCTTTCTTTTGTTGAGATATTCCTCTTTTCTTTTCTTTCCTGTACGGACTGGTATGGATTTGCGTATATTCCTTTGACAAACCTTTTCAATTTTACTACAGTTTAGATTGCAATAGGAGTACAAATAAGTTTTCGCCGTTTAAGAAAAGATGACCCCACCAAAAGTCTTTTTTTGTGAAACGTTATATCCCAAGTTCGGTCATCTTTGGTCATAACCTTGAAGTAGTAATATCAACTAACAGTTTTCGTGCGAAAATGTTAAGTTTGTACATTTATCTGCGATAATTTATGAGTAATGTGCAAAGAACCGATTTTTCATTTTTCTTGAAAAATATAGACATTCTCAGTGTACGTGGCGCTGTGGGCATGTCCTTCGAACGATTTGCCCCGTCTTCAATACCAAGATGCGTGCAAGAACTTCCACTGTTTCTGTCAAATTTGAAGTCGATAGCTTCACTTTTGCGGCCAAGAAAATCTTTACAACAGTCATTATACAGACGGACAGACGGACATCCTTAAATCGATTTAGAATTTGATGCTGATCAAGAATGTATATGCTTTGTGGAGTCTCTGATACTTCTTTGTAAACGTTGCGAACGTTTTGATGAATTGAATATCCCCGTATCCTTCGGCGATGGGTATAACAAATAAGAAAATTATATTCGTTCGTGACCGAATCTTTTATACTTATCACCGTCAAGGTCAACGAAAGAAAAAGGACTATATTTTCATCCTCTACAATATTGGAAAGGCGCTCTTCTGATTTTTTCTATTTTGCGAATAAAAATAGAAATTTGTACAGTGTATGTGTTGTATATGTGAGTTCACAGTTTTTGAGAGATAGGCGTGTGAGCGTGTTATAGTCGTGCTGTTTAAAAAGTTTTGGCCCTTTTCAAATTCTCTATCCCGTAGCCGGACAGTTGAACAGACGGACATGCTTAGGTGCATTTCGAATTTGAAACTGGCCAAAAATTTATATACATTATGGAGTTTTTGAAGCCTGCTTCCACGTATTATAAGAATTTTGAAAAAACGTTCAAAATTTTATACATTTACCTACTGTAGTGAGTAACAGACGAAAAACTAATCGTTTATTCCTTTTACAATGCAGAGGAATACTCAGTTTACGTGGTACTGTAGGCGTGTCGTTTAACTGATTTCACCCATTTTCAATACCAATGTGCGAAGAACAACCTACAATATTTCTGCCAAATTTGAAATCGATTGCTTTGTTTTTGCGGTCAGGAAAATGTTTACAACAGACATGCGTCGATTTGCTTAAATCGATTCAGATTTTTAGATGATTATCAAGAGTATATATATTAAACTTTGCGGGGTCTCTGATCCTTCTTTCTGGGCGTTGCAAACGTAAACAATAAAATCATTGTACCACTCATCCTTCGGTGACGGGGTACAATAATGAAATTTTAAGAAGAAAATTAAATTTGCTAAATTTGAATCACCTTACTTCATGTTTTAGCTTCTCGTCTATATAACGGCTTTCAAGCACAGCATACCTTTGCATGGAAACAAGAAAACAACATGTTTTGTTCTATTATGAAAGTGAATGCATTATTGTATTAGAAGAAGTGTAGGGCATTTAATAAGTATGCTTACACGAATTCCTCTTTGTTTTAAATTATGTTTCTATGAGAAACAGTGTTACCAGATAAAATAACAGTTGCTTGTTTAATTAATAGAAGCCGCCTCTCGTCTCTTTTTTTTTTTGCAAGGAGGGAAAATCAATTAAATAAATTTTAAAAAATGAGCCTAAATAATTCCGTGGATATTTATCTTGAGTCTGAGCAAGTAAGGCTTCCGATACGCAATATAAATGCATTTCTAAGAAACTTTGAACTTTAGGAACAGATTCAAACTCTAAATAAATATATCCATGATATTCATCAGCAACTGGTTGATTATGAAGAATCTCTTACGCCCGAGTGTTCGAATGATGATAATGATAGCGAAAATAATATTCCGAAAATAATGGATTTATTGAACGAAGTAGCAGATATAAACGAAGCTGCAAAAATATTACGTCCAATAAACTTGCAGTTGGACGACTTGCAAAGCGGTCTGACTGACTGCTTAAAATCTTTGCAACAAACCATCGACCTGTTGAAACTAGAAAGAGATATTAAAATACTAACAGAAAGAAATGAAGGCATGAGTAGCGAAGAAGATTAAAGACGTTGAGTAAATTTCTGCCCACTGAGATGCTATCAACTCCAAAATATAAACTGCACGTATATTTTCGCAATATGAATTTCATTCAATATATAATAAGCGTTTAAAGTTATCTTATTTTCTCCTAACGGTGTTTGAAATGCTATTTCTATAAGATCTTTAGTAATTTTTAAAATTAAAAAAAACAACAAAGTTTACAAAGCAATATGTTGGTTAATACGGGATGCTGACAATAGTTCATTCCAAGACTGCCTGCTAGAAATCCAAATTTTTCACAAGTTTAATGTAGAAATAATGATTAACGGAAACGTGGCGCATAAAATGTAAGGAATTCAATTTTCCTCTATTCCCAATTTGATTTTTAAATTTTGCTCCTCTTGGAAACGTGCCTGTAAATTGCGTACTCGCGTTTCGTCATCATCATTCTTATGCGAAGCAAAGTGCACCCGCAAATCACGCGCCAATGGAAAACGCAAAGGACACATTTCACATTGATAAACATTTTCACCCAAATGGGAACGTAAATGTTTAACGCAATCATTACTCTGAGCAAACGCGCGATCACAATATTTACAGCAATATGGTTTTTCACCGGTATGTGTTCGGATATGGCGCCGTTTCTTTTCAGCAGAAAAAAAACTAAAAAATTTTTGAAACTTGAAAATATTGAGAAAAACTTTTAATCTAAAAATTTACCGCATATCGCAATAATCGCAGGAAAAATTTTTTATGCCGCCATGATAAAGGCAATGCTTCTTTAGTTGATAAGCCTGATGGAATGCGCTACCGCATATGTCACAAACAAATGGACGTTCTTTTTTATGTACCGAGCGGTGAGCGTATAAACCGCTGGCACAGACGAATTGTTTGGGACAATCTGGGCATTGGAAACATTTTTCACCACGATGTCGTTTCATGTGTGTATTTAAGCTGCTAGCCAAAGAAAAACCTTTGCCACATTCTATGCATAAAAACGGTTGTTCGCCAGTATGAGTACGTACATGATTTTTATAACTCGTAGATTTAGGAAAAACTAGGAGAGAGGTAGTGCTTCAATCAAAAACATTTTTGAGCAAGTGAAGTGAATTTACACCCACATACACAAACTTACCTTTATCGCAATACTCGCATTCGAAAATCTTTTTGGTCTGTGTATGTTTTCCTTTTACTTGTACAATGTTTACGTTTTGATTTTTTGTGTCTTTACCTTCTTGCTTCCTTTCATTTGATTTTTCCTTTATTGTTCTAAAAAGAAGTCCAAGCTTTGATTTATTATAGCGTTATTATGCACAATATAACATACCTCTTGTACACCGGTTTCTCTTCGTTTCCAATGTGACTATGATCTTGCTTAAAAAACGAATCGCCTTTTTCCCCGTGAGGTCTTTCTATATGTTCTTCCTGTTCTTCGCTTAATTTCATTACATTATATTCACTTGCCGTCGTTTCCTCATAAGTAAACAAATTCTCTTTCAGTACATCTTCCTCCTGCTTTATTATCAAATTCATATCTTTATTAATACCCAATGACCTCCAATGTTTCAAAAGCTCCTCCTTGTGTTTAGAGTTTTCATAATTTTGATCTTTCAATATTTTACGATATAATTCATCCGATTTTGCGTACATTCGCAAAAAATCATAAGTACATCTCAAGCTATGTATACAACTCATGCACATAAACTTAGGTAAACCATCTGTCATTTGAACATTAATTTTTGGTGCTATTGATTGTAATAATTCCATTAGACTACACCTGGAAGATTCTTTGCAGTCCACTAACTTTTCGTAGATATATTGTCTATTTTTGAACGATGATTCGCTTTTTACTCGCAGCATGCAAGTGCGGCAAAGATCTTTAATAGCTTCTGGAGCACTCTCACTCATCTTCAGATTAATTTAAGGATAAAATTATTTGAAAAACGTACAAATTCCATAAATTTCGACAGGATAAATTAAAATTAAAGAAAACTCTAGTGTTACCACTATTCGCTCAACCTAAAGTACCGTTAATGAACAAAAACCAACATTGCAGGAATTAACAATAAATAAATTAATTTAAAAAGTACTAATAAGCAATAAAAACAACAGAGCCAGACACAAAAAAACGTTCTCAACAAATTTTCAATTCATTCATAAATTTTTTTAGTTTTCATATCAACTTTATGACGAAAAATTTTTTCATGTTCGTGTAATTTAATACATTTGTCCTATTTTCGGTACCGAAAGCTATTAACTATGTTTAATTTTTGCATTATAATGGCCAAATATTTAAAAAGATTATTAGTTAAATTAAATCGTTTTCTTTAAAATTGCATTAAGAAGATGTATATATATGCACATTAAAAAAAAAAAAATGTAAATTCCTATCTTACCAAGAGGGATACATGTATTAATACAATTGAAAATAATAATAAGCTTGGCAACCCTTTATAAACACAATCAGCTCAGTAGCAACTTGTCTGGCGGCAGCAGTAACAGTAATACAACAACAAACACCATCGACATTAAATATAAATTTCCAAGAATTTTGAAAAATAAAGTGTTGTCTTGTGAGAAAATGGTCAAATAAATTATAAAAATATTATGAAAATTCAACAAATTTATAAAAATATGGATTATAAAAAACATGAAAAAGCTAAAAAAAAGCTCGAAAACGGAGAAATTTCAACGAAAATTGTGAAATTTTCAAGCAGCTTAAATTCAAATTCTTGGAAAAACATACAGTATAGTTAAACGGATTTCCAAGAAAAACAGATTCAAACTTTAAGCCTAAGTATACAATTAGGGGATAGTGCAAAGTGTTTTTGACTTCAGGAGAATTTTTTTTTACAAATTGCGAAATTTAAAAATAAATATGGAAAATAATTGTCTTAGTTGGTTAATTATTGTGTATATAATAATGTTGTTTGGTAACAAGAACGTTGAAGTTAGTCGTGTTTACTCCTCGCCAGGCGAGACTTATCCGGCCACAGTTGAAGTAGCCATTGGTTCAGATTTTAATATAAGTTGTTACATGAATCGGAGAGCGTTTCCTGGGAAAAATTCCAGCCATTTGTACTTTGTAAATGGTCGTACTGGTGAAAAAGTAGCAAAGGAATATATTTCAATTATAAACAACACCAGTGTAATGTTGACAATACGAAATGCCAATGAACAGCAAACAGAATATCGATGCAAATGTGGTACAGATGCCATAATGGAAACTAAAGTTTTCGTAGGATCTCCTCCGAAACCTGTAAAAGATTTTGCTTGTCGCAGCTATGATTTTGAATATATGGTGTGCAATTTTTCTAAACCATCCAATCCGGTATTAACGCAATACAATGTAACATTTTATATAGATTCAGCTGAATACCAATACCAGCCTGAATGTAGTTATGATGGTCGATCGCGGGTGGTATGCAATACTTCGTTAGCCAACAACTATAGGCCACGTGTGGAGCTATATCACTATATAATAAATGCTCGGAATTCTTTGGCAAAAATGATTCGGCCCCAACAATTTGAAATTAATAATTGGGAAATAATGGTGCCTTCTAAACCTGGTGAAGATTTACGTATTGAAGAGTTGAGTGTCAACGGCTTAACCGTAGCATGGCGTATGCCAAAATGGGAAGATTATCGTAAAAGTCTGAAATGGGAGATTATAGTGCAACCAGAAAACGCGACAGCGCTCGAGCTTTCCGGCCCCGAACGAACGCACGGCTTCTTGCGTTTGCAGATAACTAACTTACCTTATGCCTACTGGCATTATCAGTTAAAAATTCGTGTACGTGTTAAGGCTCCTGATGCCATATGGAGTGAACAATTCATTTTTCCTTTCCGCACCTTGGCTAGGAAGCCGGATCGTCCACCCCTTATAAAGCCAGGCAGTTTTTATGTTGATTCACAGGAAACACGTGTTACCATCTATTGGGAGGAACTATCTCCTTACGAGTACAACGGCGATAATTTTACTTACACTGTTACCGAAGTACGACGTGGTGGTAAAGTCATGTAAGGATATACAAAATTATTTATTAAAACTTTACTTTGAACACAAGCGTTACTTGAAAGAAAATTCCGAATATAAATCATATACCTAAAGCAGTAAAGAAAAATGAACATTTTCGTGGGAAGAAAAATGCTTAATTAAATTGAATCCGTTTTCTCCCTATCTATCGCATACATTCATTCAGTCAAATAATCAGCCTTCAACACATAATAAACACGTATGTTATTTTTTAGAGCAACAAGTGTTTTTTGTAACTAAGTTCACCCCACAAAATTGTTATTAAAGAATTTCACGATTCTTAGAAAAAAAAAAAAAAAAACACAATCTCTAGCATATTGTTTAAAGCTGTGTTAAATCCCATTCGTATTATTTTGCTTTATTTTACATACTTTATTACAACTAAAGGTAACATAAAATTAGTATTGGAAATTGTAATCAGCAGTTCAGTGTTACGATGAATGTAGATGTGTTAGCTGAATTACTAACAGGCTTTACTTGGAGTAAACACACAATATATCTTCCAATGCAGAAAGTCTTATTTATGAGTAATACATAGGAAATGTAAGAAAAAGTGAAAATTTGATCATTTATTACTTTGCCACAGGCGGGGCTAATGCTTCCCAACTTTTTAAATATAAATTATAAGCTCGTCCCTCCGTAAAATTGATGAAGAGAATTGCACCCTTCTATCTTTCATTGGAAAAAGTGAAAATTTCCAAAAATGTTGTTTAAATAAACAGGGATGTTTTCAGTTTATGTTTTACTGCGGGCGTGTCTTTTGATCGATTTTGAATATCAACCTGCGTAGAAAAGTTTTCAACGTTTCTGCGAAATTTGTTATCGATATCTTCATTATTGCGATTAGGAGTTTGGGTGTAACACGGGTGTAACTCACGGACAGACATGGCTAGATAAATTCAAAATTCTGAAGCATTCTTCCAAAATGAATAAATATATCTGCATCTGTCGATGATGGGTATGAAAATAAATTATCAGTATTCCTTTCTTTCGGTATAAAGATCAAATGGAAGGACCTATTAATGAAAATACTTAAAGCTGCCATCTAAGGGATAAGCTATAGTTTCGTATTTCATTTGTAATGTGACACAATTCCTTTTGATTTATTAGACTGATATACCTCATATCAATGATAAATTATTCATACCTTAATCTTTTATGTTCCAGTGATCTACGTCCTTTACAACAAGATATTAATTTGGTCACATTTATATGGAACAAATTCGCACAATATGAATTTGAAATACGTAGTCGCAATCATATGGGCACATCTGGTGAAAGTAGTCGTCTTACAATTTACGCTTTGGGTCAACGCAACACGAAACGTTATGAACCCAGGGCTATACATAATGTTTACCATGCCGATAATCGAACTTATACTTTGTCGTGGTCTAAGCCACTTATTACTGAAGCTCTTGAAAACTACACAGTATATTGGTGTTATCCGAAAAGAGCTTTATCGAATGAATGCAAAGGCTCGATGCATTTTCAGCAAGTGCCCGCGGAACAATTGAACTTCACCACCGATGTGCAAAATGCTTTGCAAGAGCATACACTAAATTTAGCGGTATCCGCTGATTATGAAGACTTTAATACGGGCCTACATTGGACAGACTGTACGATGGATGTTAATAGCGATTTAGTTAAAATGGATCCAGAAGTAATGGCAATCAGCGCTGCCAGTATTACAGTTCACTGGAGCGTAGAGAGAGTGTGCACCTCGATACTGGACGGATTTAATCTTACATATTGTGAAGTAAGTAAAGACGAGATGTCAGCAGAGAATTCGACTTGCTTGCAGAAACCAATTTCCAAGATAATACGTAAGAGCGCAAAAAAAGACGAAATTGGTGACTTGAAACCTTTCACTTTATATAAAATAAATATGTTGATGTATTCGCGCTTGAAAAAGGGAAAAATTAGCGATGCTCAACTGATACGAACACTGGAGGGTACACCATCGCCGCCACGTCAACTGCAAGTGACAGGAGTAACGAATACGAGTGCTACCATTAGCTGGCAACCGCCAAGTCAACCAAATGGTCATATACGAAAATATACCATTATCTTGAATACAGAGAAATATGAGGTAGACTCTACGGTCTTGGAATACAAGCTTCCTAATTTGACCAGTTTCACGGCCTACAAAGTTTATGTCTTAGCTCATACGGTGAACACATCAATGCCGAGCAATGACGTACACTTCACTACCTTAATTGGATGTAAGTTTTAAAGATTCAAAAATTACAAAATTCTTAACATACAACAAGATTACGACTGCGATAGAAATTAGACAAAATAAATTGCTAACTAAATATAAATTCATTGGGTTTTGAAATTTTCGCATGCCCTACATGCTTCGCAAATACTTGGGCTAAACGTCCCATCCAACTTTGCTTTGGGCTTACGCACGTGCAATGCTCGCACTTGCTGGCTATGATTTTTAAATTTTACCGCAACGCACTAAATATTTTGAATTTTATCGATGGAAATGTTTTACAATTGAATCTAATTGGCAAACAGGTGCGATTGTGTATAATGCTCGTCAATATCGCGCTTATCGGGATCGCGAATATTTTTTAACTGCTGTTTTGCTGTTTGTGATAAGAATTCTTTGTGACGGGCTTAATTATGCTTTTAAAATTTTTAAAGTCATGTATTTTATCACTGCTACGCAACGAATTGATAGGAATATCGTAAAGATTATGGAAGAGATTTTCAAAAATTGTTTTGTAAAAGTTTTTCATTAATTTTTGGGAAAGAAAACATTTCCTTTAGTAGTAGAGTAGTTTGTTGTTTAATTTAAATGCAATATTTTGGCTTTGAAATAATCCCTGATTACTTATTGCATTTTAGATCCTTCGCCACCCGGCCACGCAACCACAACAAATAACAGTATTATACAATGGACTCGCCCACAAAAACCTCGCGGCCATATTGAATTTTACGAGGTGGCAGTCACACAAATGCGTAATGATATCGTAATTAAACGACGCTTGAGTATTGTGATTGGGGGCGAAACAGCGTGCGCGTTCAAGGTGCCAGCGTGTTTGGGGCCTGAATATAAAACTTTGGTGGAGGTAAGGGCGGTAAATGTGGCACCTCGAAATTTGGAAAGCGGTGCCGCTGCCGCTGCTGCTGCTGCTGCTGCTGCTGCTACTACTGCCGAGATCATCAATAAAGAAGAAGGGGGCGGCTATGACTTTGAAGAAGGAAGTGATGAATTATCGTGTGTAAGCAGTTCTTTGTCAGAACGAAATCTAAAAGACTTAAAACGCTATAACGACAATCGAAAATATGAACTTTATAAATCCGATTGGCAAAATACTGCCACCTACACTTGCTCGTCCAGTCGTTTAAGTAAGATAACCACAATTGCTTTACTGGTGGTAGCCATGTCATTGGGTATAATGTTTGCTTTATATATGGCCCGCAAGAAATATAATAAAATGGCAAATATTAATTGCACGCTACCAGCTAGCCTAGAGACTTATTTTAGCAAGGAAGGTCAGCCGGCGACACTTAATTCTCCTGGCAATTACACAAACAATGCCGGAGGTAGAGTTAAGGGCTTAGATATCACATTTCAACGTAGCGTTGAAGAGCAATGGATTAATAGCAATCGTATGCATGAATTCAATATACGTAATGAACATCATCATTTGCTGTCGTCGTTGGGCAGCGACTCCGGTTATCTTGCGGCTGAGGGTGGCGTACTAAGCACCAGTTTAGAGACGCGAAACATTGAGGATGATCAACGCGAACGGGAAATTGAGATGAGATTACCGTCACAAAATTCAAATGATTGCTCAATGAATAATATAACAAAAAGTGACACTAATAACGAATCACTTCTAGATCAATATATTAAGTCATCAAATTCTGATTGGCAAACATTTGCAGATAGTCCTAAAAATGAAAGTTTAGTAACAAATGCCAAGAACACGGACGGCTATATAACGGTACAAAATTTGGACTTATTAACAAAGCCGCTCTCAAACTATAACCAAGGTTATGTGCAACAATACGATTTGGAGAAGTTATCAAAAAATGTACCATCACTCTCAACCATAAATACCGGTTACGTTGCTTCGGACGAATTAACAAATATATCAAAGATTAAAAGTTCACACGTCAATCAAAATCGAAATAATTTGAATATGTTAGAGAACAGTAAAGGTGAAGTCGCTCAAAGCGGTCTTGGCAATGGATCAACTAGCGTCATTTCAGGTTATGTTACTCAACATGATTTAAATATTTTTGCTCATCATCAGCAGCAACAGCTTTAAAATTCAATACAATTTTTTTTTCAAAAACAAAAAAAAAAAAACAAAAAAAAAAACAGAAAACAGAAAACAGAAAACCGAACTAAAAAATCCTTCCACTATTAAGAGTAAATTATCGATATTAGTTGATAAACAAAGCACACCGCAGCTGGTTCCTAAGAATTGAAAGAAACTCACTCGAAAGTTAAACGATATTGTCATCGACTTTGGCTGAATCTTGAGTACATAAATATTACTTAAGATAAATATAATATATGAAAAATACAGTTAATGGGCGTGTTAACAGACACATGCAAGGCTTAATACTTTCTGTTTCTATCTCCCTCAATAAAAACAAAATAAATTTTAGATTAAAATTTTTATCGCGAATATTTGCGATAAATTTGTAGAGTTCCGCCTTAATTAGAGAGCTTCGACAATTTTAATAACAGACAAACGATCGAACAAAATTGACTCTTAATCTATCCGCTCATGAGGTGATCTCTATTCTCATCTTTCCATGCTTAGGTGGTGGATGCAAAAATTCGTAGCAAAGATCGAAATACGACACTCCTCTACAACATGAAAACCAAACGGATGACTTTAAATGTTACAATGCCTGGCAACTGCGCAATCTTCTCACGCTATATTATAGAAAATCGATTAAGATAATTATTAATTATTGTGTATATGAACCCTTACCGTCTCCCTTGCTCCAAGTTCTCTCTTTTTTTTCTCTTATTCATAGTAGTATTTATTATTTACATATACATGTATACATGTATATATATATATATATATATATATGTATTTTTATTAATTTTTTTTTTTTTTTTTCATATATTTAGATTTTTTTATTTTCATATGATTTTTCAATTTCTTATGACATTTATATATTTAATTTTTTTT